TCAGACTGACATTATTGAAATTATCACAATTATTTAAAAATCTCCCAGATGCTGGTACAGAAATTGCCAACTTGAGTTTTGTGATTTCTAGATTAATAACAAGAAGTATGCTGACATTCTAAAAATGTGCCCCAGAAAAAATTAATTTTAAATATATATAATTAGAAAAATAAGTTTGCACGCTGGGCATGGTGGCTCATGCCTGTAATCCCAGCATTTTGGGAGGCTGAGGCGGGTGGATCACCTGAGGTCAGGAGTTTGAGACCAGCCTGACCAGTATGGTGAAACCCAGCCTCTACTAAAAATACAAAAATTAGCCAGGCTTGGTGGCATACACCTATAGTTCTAGCTACTTGGGAGGCTGAGACAAGAGAATTGCTTGAACGCAGGAGGCAGAGGTTGCAGTGAGCTGAGATTACACCACTGCACTCCAGCCTGGGTGACAGGGCAAGACTCCATCTCAAAAAAAAAAAAAAAAATAAAATAAAGAAAAGAAAAGAAGAAGAAGTTTGCATACTATTTTCCCGTTTTCCTTTCTCTGGAGAGGGGAGTATGACTAAATCAAACTCCAAAAAGCTTGTAAAACACTACTGTGATGTATTTGCCCAATGTGACCCAGACAAGGGCAGATGAATTGTAAAAATCTGGACACTTACCACAGAGTCTTAGGAAATTCCAAGACTCTGGGAGAAGAACCAACAGTTTTTAGGCTACAATATCTTCTGCCTCTAAATTTGGAATGGAATTTTAACATTAAATATAGATGGAGAACCTAAAACTACTAAAATTATACCAATTTCATTTAATAAAATAGGTTTGTGTACCTTGAATTGTTCAAGTTTAGATTTTCATATTTATACATATCTCAAGCATCAGGAAGCTATCCAGAACAATCTGAGAGTGAAAGTTAACTTTTTCTTCTGTTTGGCCTACCTTAGAGAATGTAAATACCTGAGTAGTTCTTTTGTTTTAAAATCTATAATTTAAATATATTTAAATACTTAAATGTATTTACATATTTAATTATATATTTACACACATATTTAAAAATACAACATACAGATACAGATACATGTATATCCATACATAAATACCAAAAGGTTCTTGTAAGAAATTTTATCTGTGAGTCAATTGAAAGCATAAATAAGAGAAACTAAAATTTATGAATATTTAGGCAGACCATGAGAAGACAGTGTGAGTTTTGCACAATCATTTAATACTTAGAATCACATTCTTAAGCCTAATAATAGAAACATAATCAATTATCATAAATACAATGAAATAAAAGTGATTTCTTACTGAATACTGGGAAAGACGTGTTTCCTTTTAACACCTGGAATTCTTGTTCCAGTCGTCTCCGTAAATCTATTTGTTCAAATAAAACCTTTTGAAGTTCTTCTAATAAAAAAAAAAGAAGAGTCATTTTACTAATCTTTACAAATAACTCTCCAGAGAACTGTTATATATGGCAATTTATTATTATAAGACAAAATATTTTACCAATTTTAAAAAGTGTTACATAGATATAGGATAGATTTTGTGCAGAAATCCATGAATATAAATCAATGTAATATATTATTTTAAAGTATTATATTACAGTGTCATGTATTGATTGATATGTATGCATTAATCTCAATTATATCCACCCAATGGTCCATATATTATTCATATGTTGCTTGTCAAGCTAAAAATATGGTGTAGAACAAAAATATCCTCCTATTATCTCCATAGTGGTTTAAAGCTAAGAGAAGTTCTACAGAATCCAAACTTTCATTTACCTTTCCCCATATTTTCTACATCCTTTTTGAGTGAATGAGGTGAATTGGTTTCTTGTGTGTGTTCACCTTTTAAAAGAGGAGAAAAAATATTATTAGTTTTGTGTAGGCTAGTTCTGTAAGTTTTCATTTTCATTTTCTTTTAATATCTGCAAAAGAGCTTATTTAATATAACCTGAAATTGGGAGTCCTCATAACCAAATGTTGTCCTCATTCACTTGCATACAATCCCCTTGAACCATGGAGGGGAGGTGCAGAAAACAAAGGCAGAGCCTGCCTGGCCTGTGACGGCAGCTCCAGAAAAGCAGATTCTTGAAGTTATTCCCTCTCTAGCTCCCTATCGCTATCCATCCTTTCCAAAAAAGGAAATTGCTAGAATGGGCAAAAGAGGAGTCTGGATAGTCAAGATTTCTGGTAGAAATCTGATCGGAGTCCCACTGCTCTTTGAAGGGTGGAAGACTGGTTTGAATGGGAAGGTCCTCAAGACTAGAGTCATGGGCCCAGCCTTCTTGGGCCATCAAAATTTGAGACACTGAAAAAGAAGTGGGAGGAGGCTTTGAGTTGTGCTTCTAAGATATTTGATAAGCCTGGATGGGTTTCCTAATAATTGGTAGTTTGTTTTTGTTTTTTAAATCAACTTAAGGTTGGGTGCAGTGGCTCATGTCTGTAATTGGAAGGCTGAGGTGGAAGGTTTGCTTGAGGCCAGGAGTTTGAGACCAACCTGAATAACATGGCAAAACCTTGTCTCTACAAAAATACAAAAATTAGCCGAATGTGGTGATGTGTGCCTGTAGTCCCAGCAACTTGGGAGGCTGAAGTGAGAGTATCACTTGAGCCCGGGTGATTGAGGCTATGGTGAGCTGTGATTTCACTACTGCACTCCAACCTAGGCAATCCTGTCTCAAAATAAAAAAATAAATAAATAAAATGAAAAGTAAAAAATGTAAAAATCAGCTTAAAACAGAGAGATAAAATAAGTTAACTTGTATTAGTTTGTAAATAGTTACTTGCTTGCTGGTATCTCTTAAATGATCTTCCTTGACCAAAGAAAACTACATTGTGCATAAAGGCTAGATTGTTAATGCTGCTTCGCTTATGAGCTGGCTAGGATGGCAAGCTAAGAAAATGTCTTTATCCACAGCCATAAATTGAGTCCACAAACCCAGTCTAAATAAACCAGAATCCAATCATTCAGCTAATCAGATCCTTTTTAAAAAATTCAACCGACTATCCTCAATACTCACATAATCTAATCAAGCTTTTCATTTCTGCCTAAAGATGTATGGTAGAACAAAGGGGCTCTGAGGCTTCATGGGTCCTCCTCCCTTTCCCCCGTCCCTCCTCTGTGTTCCCAGAGTGCCTCACGCAGGCCTCAAGCACGGTGCGTGCTGTTTCCTTACTCCCTGTCCTCACTCAGTGGGCCATGTGTTACTTTGGGGCAGGGGCTCAGTATGGTCAGTGCCTAGCACAGTGATGAACATGCAATAAGCACTCAGTAAAGTGTCTGCAGTTGTTTCTGAAAAGGACTCCAAGAGGACGTAAATTCTAAATTATGGCGTGGGCCAGAATTCATCACAGATCTCCTTACTATTTTATTTCCCTCAGCAAAAAACAAAACATAATGGCCCTGGGCACTTGTAGAAGTACAGGGAGATTTCATTGCCACGGTAAAAATTTCTGCAAAGAGGGAAACAGGATTTTTCCCTGAAGTGGTGACCTATAACAGTATCATGGACAGACAGGAAAATTTTCAGCATGATATTATCAATGGCAATTCAAGTGCATTTTACTTAATGACTGTCGGGAGTATGTTTGTGTGTGTTTGTGCATGTGCGTGTATGTGTAGGTAAATACATCTATGTAAATACATGCAAATATTCCAGAACATAAGCATCATTAGGGGAAGGAGTCTAATAATAACCTTGGCATTTCTAAGTTCCTCAATAGCAAGTATCTTCTCTAATATCCAGATCAGATTCCTACAGCCTCATTCACATTCTCATCTTAGACATGACCTCTCTATAGGCTCAGAGGTACTCTTGAACCTTAATACCTTGGCTTTCTTCTCTAGATAAAAAGAAAATAGAGAGGAAATATCTGTGAAGTAATTTAAATATAGGCCTCACTGCAATTCCTAAAAAAATCCTATTATCTAAAACAAGGTTTTATATACATGAAGGTTGATAACAAATCATTAATGTGTAAACCAAGAAAAATAGTATTTTAAAATGAAGATACATGCACATTATGTGCAGTCTCAATTAACCAGTTAAAGGTGTAGAATTTTTGAAAATACTGGCATACAATATCGAATCCGAACGAGAGAAGAAAGAGGCAGGCATGTATCTCTGTGTTTTTCTACAGGGCATAATGAGACTATATTCTACAACTTTTTCAACCACTCAAAGCCTGATTTAAATGAGATCTTTATACCTAAATAGGCAATTCTAGAAACCATAGTCTTATCAAATTATAGACCAGATTCCTTTTGACACTTAGTATATTTTGTGGACTGTTTATCTTATACTATGTTTCATTAGATAAGTGAATTTAAAACTTAAATTATGATATGTAAAAATACATTTCTTTCCTACTTCATGATTAGTAGCTTTACATTGGTATGAAGCCACTAAACAAGTAACTAGTAAATGGAAACTATATTAACCACAGGCAAATCTACTGACGACATTAATAAAAAGCTTGTCTTTTCATCAGCTTTGTAAAGGTTTTATTAACACTTTACATAGGCGTCTATTTCAAACAGATATTTTGCTTCATCTTCTGGGTAAAATCTGCCAATTTTGAGCTTAGAGGATTCGAATGCCTCACTTACAAAGGGTTTTTAAAACGGCTAAATGTTAGGTAAATAAGAAGCATAGAAGCTTCTGCTGCCTTTTGTGTATCTTTTACTGGACTGTTGCCTTTCGTATATTACTAATCTGTGAAAACCAGATTGTTAATGGTGGTTAAAAATGACCTCTGGGAGCCTGGATATATTTGTTCACTATTACTGCTAATGGTTTCCATCTGGTTAAAAAAAAAAAAGGCAGTCTAATACTAGATTAAATGAATGTGATTTAGTTGACAGTGAGCTCCCAATTTTTCTAAAAATTCCATCAGGTTGGATACATTTTACTTTGTCAGAATTAATGAATGGGTTTGGAACATCCCTAAATTAAAATGCTTACTTTTTTATCCCTTATTTTCCCTTCACCCCTTCTGTTTTTAAATATGGACTACTTCAGAAATTTGTGTGTCATCCTTGCACAGAGGCTATGCTAATCTTCTCTTATTGTTCCAATTTTAGTATATGTGCTGCCAAAGTGAGCACTGGATTCCTTTTTAAAAAAGGGTTTGGTGAGCCTGGCATGGTGGCTCACACCTGTACTCCCAGCACTTTGGGAGACTGAGGCGGGTGGATCACTTGAGGTCAGGAGACCAGCCTGGCCAACATGGTGAAACCTCATCTCTACTAAAACTACAAAAACTAGCCAGGCGTGGTATAGGGCACCTATAATCCCAGCTACTCAGGAGGCTGAGGCAGGAAAATTGCTTGAACCTGAGAGGCGGAGGTTGCAGTGAGCTGCACACCAGCCTGGGTGACAGAGTAAGACTCCATCTCAGAAAAAGAAAAGGGGGAAGGGTAGGGTTATTTGGGGCGAAAGCATAGCGATCTTAACAGTGTAGAGTTGTAGGAGAAAAAATGTTGGAAAACATGGAAGGAACATGTTTTTTGGAAGCCTGGCCTCAAACATGTCTAATACTATAGGAAAAACCTGGTTTGAAGTTGGAGAGTAATGTGTCACTAGGGCATACAATGCCTCTTGTGGATGGAGGTGACTAAAAGCTGCTGCTAAAGGCCTGATGTGGTGCCATGGCCCACACCTGGAATCCCAGCACTTTGGGAGGCTGAGGCAGAGACAGTTCTTGAGCCCAGGAATTTGAGACCAGCCTGGGTAACATGATGAAACTCTGTCTCTACAAAAAAGACAAAGTTTAGCCGGGTGTGGTGGTGGGCTCCTGTAGTCCCAGCCACTCTGAGTGGGAGAATCACTTGAGCCCTGGAGGTCAAGGCTGCAGTGAGTCATGATTGCACCACTGGCCACTGCACTCCACCTGAGTGATAGAGTGAGACTTTGACTCAAATTAAAAAAAGAAGAAAAGAAAAAGCTGCTGCTTAGGAAGGTGTCTACACCAGCACTTAGCACTTCCCAAGTACACATTTGCAGGACCAGTTCACTGTGATCTGAATGGTTCTGAGAATCTTGTTCACCTGGGAGGGTGGAGGCAGCATCGTGCCATATCAGGGAAACTATATCACTGCTGAGCGCAGCTGGAGACCAGAGAGCCTGGCACCTCAGAAGCCTGCTTTCCTGGTCTCTCCAGGGTCCTCCAGCAGCAGTGGTTCCATGTTCTAACTGAATGTTCCACCCCACTCTTGGTTCTGCCCTCACATGTCATTAGAAACTGGAAGTATAAGAGAGATGGGTGTGAGAAGTGCCATGCTGAAGCAGATATGAGCAGTAAATAGCAAGTGAGGAGGAAATGGACTATATGAACAACACAGACAAACAGCCAACAGAGTCAACAGCACTAGCTTTCAAGGCACTAGGATAATTACTTTCTCTTAAATATCATGGCAAGCCTCTGCTCAAGAACCTGCAATGGCTCCCTATGGTCTCCATCAAAGACTCCACTCACTCTAAAATTCTCCCCCAAAGTCTCTAGGTTCTCCCATAATCTTGTCCAACCTGCTGAGCCATCCTCTCTCTCTCTCTCTCTCTCTCTTTCTCTTGATCTCTCGATCTCTCTCTCTCTCTCTTTTGAGACAAGGTCTTGCTGTGTCACCCAGGCTGAAGTACAGCCACACAATCCAGGCTCACTGCAGCCTCAACCTCCTGGGCTCAGGTGATCCTCTCACCTTAGCCTCCCAGGTAGCTGGGACTACAGGTGCACACCACCATGCCTGGCTACTTTTTTTTTCTGTATTTTTTTGTAGAGATGCGGTTTTACCATGTTGCCCAGGCTGGTCTTGAACCCCTGAACTCAGGTGATCCACCCACCTCGCCCTCCCAAAGTGCTGGGATTATAGGAGTAAGCCACCATGCCTGGCCCATCCTGTCTTTATTGCCCAACAGGCATTTATTTTTCACATCTGCTGCCTACATCTGCCTTATGTCATTTCTCTGTCCTAAGCTGCCCTCTCCTCTATTCCTTGTGCTACCAAAATCAGAATGCCATCCAAGTCTCTTCTTGTTAAGGATTGAATGCCTGTGTCTCCGTTATCCCCAAATTCACATATTTAAATCCTAATCCCCAAGGTGATGGTATTAGAGGAGGCGGGGCCTTTGGGAGGTAATTAGGTCATGAGGGCAGAGCACACATGAATGGGATTAGTGCCCTTATAAAAGCAACCCCAGAGAGCTCCCTCCCTACTTTTCCACCATGTGAGGATGCAGCAAGAAAACGGCCATCTATGAACCAGGAAGAGAGATCCCACACCAATCACTGCATCTGCCAGTGCTTTGATCTTGGACTTCCCAGCATCCAGAACTGAGAGAAACAGATCTATTGTTTAATCCACCCAGTCAATGTTATTATTATTATTTTTTATAGCAGCCTGGCCAGACTAAGACACTTTTCTTCCATAAGCCTTTTTCAACTTCTGCAAATCTTGCTGATTCATCCCTTCCTGGGCTGAAGTCCTAAGTGCTTATTGTCTTTACCCCTTTGTACCTGATATTCTAGTGTTTTACGTATGTTAGTCTGGTCTTCCTCAGCTAGAAAATACATCTTCTGAGGGCAGAGAGACCCTACCCTACAGGTAATCCGCGTCATCCTTACCTTAGGGAGGGGTACAAATACATTCCACAAATACTTGTTGCACTTTTTAATTCATTCTGCTTTGTAAGAGAAATACCAACTAATGCTATTCTAAATACTTAGTCGTCTTGAGAGGTTTTAAAGCAGTAACTTATTCCTATATGTAAAAAGAACATTTTGATCCATTTGCATATTCTGACTAACTGAATACATTCAGTTTACTGGGGAAATTTGTGATGCTCCAGTAGAAAATAAGTTTTGTTCTCATCTGATATTTCAAAAATTTCTTTCAGGGAAAAACAAAACCCACAGCACTGAATTTTAACTGTGACCTGAAAATATTAATTAACATATATGTAAATATTAATTAACATATATGTTTGCCAAGCCCTCCAACAGCAAAAATATTGTACATTTGTAGAGCTCATTTAACTGTAAGAGCCAAATGAATGGTCAGATGACCTGTTCTGTTGGTGGACATGGGACAGGAGAAGCTGATTAAACAATTATTACTCTTCTCAAGCTGAAATCTGAATTCAATAAGTAAGAGCTTTCAAATATCGTGTCCTGCACACATGTAGGGTGTACCATGCATATGGGGTATGATATGAAACTCCTGACATTTGAATAAAGAGTAAACAATGTGGCATTCACCCATCCCTTCTGTGGAAATACATTCTTTCTCCTCCCTACTATTTTCTTTCTTTCTTTTCTTTTTTTTTGAGACAGGGTCTCTCTCTGTTGCCCAGCCTGTTATTCTGCAGTAATTAAAAATTAACCATGCTACGTTAATTTTTAAACAATTTTTGTAGGTCTCCCTGTATTGCCCAGTCTGGTCTCAAATTCCTGGGCTCAGAGAATCCTCCTGCCTCATTCTTCCAAAGTGCTTGGATTATAGGCATGAGCCACTGTGCCAGGCTGCCCCCAGTCCTTTCACCCCTACTTGGTTTCCTACTCCTTCTCTTGGCTCTCTCCCTTTTAAATTCTCCCTTAAGCCAGCTACCAGCACTTAGAAGCATGGCCCCAGCCAGCAGCCCCAGGGAGTAGGTGGTTGCTTATCACTGAAAAGGCCTCTATATCCTCCCAGTACTATTGTTGACACTTGATGAAAAATATTTGGAGAAAGTGTTTTGTTTTGTTTTAGAAGAAAGAAAATGCCTGTCCACAGAGGAAGTCTGCAGAAAAAAAGAAGGTGTGTCATCTAATTACACACTCACAAGTAAATGTAGTAAATATTTTTTTCTTTTCTTTTCCTTTTTTTTTTTTTTTTTTTTT